CCTGCTCTGAATATTTTTGAGAGGGCTATCCTTTAATACTTCAAAATTTCACCCATTGTTTAGATATTATCTCTAGGGAAATAAAGCAATTTCTTTTAAAAATATAATTTACAAATCTAATATAGATGTGTCCCAATTGTACTAGAAGGGAAGTTTTGGGACAGCTGATCTTTGTTTCCAAGTCCAGCAAGGTGTTGGATTTATTTTAGAATGATCTTGTAGGCATCGCATTATATTTGAATGTTTTTCTCCATTAACATAAGGGAAATAAAGGTTTTTTGCATTAAACTATCACAGCCTATATATTTCCATTATTTGCTAGCCTGGCAGGGCATGCACTGTAAGCCTTCAGGCCATGACTCAAGAATTCTCTGTAATTAGTGTGAATAAAGCTTATTGACCTTCTCTGTTAGTCATTTTACTGGGACATTGGAAGAACATTGTTTGAGCCAATATACAGGTTAGAAGTGTTAGAAATAAGAAAAATAATAGGTAATGTAAAAATGTCTTTCTATGTTAGGTCTTTCTCATAATGAACTTGAAGGGAAAAGTAAATGATTAGGGAATCCAGGGTAAGGAGTCAGAAACAGGAAGAGATCTTGATGTAGGAAAGAATTCTCTGCCCTTTGAATAAAATAGAAAAACTGTAACAGTAAGATCTAAAACACAATCTGTTCCCAGTTTGATTCAGAAAAACTTGAAAGTTGAAGAATATAACATACAAATATAAACTTCTGCATGTAGCTTGTACTTTTTGGTGGATTAAAATATAAATATATTTTTGCATTATTTTTCAATGATTATTTCATTCTGAGTAATATTTTACTTTTTCCTCTGCACAAAGAATATTAACCTGTACTCTCATTCCCAGTTTTGCACTTAACTGTTTTACAAAGATCAGTGGAAATAATTAAAGTCAAAATACTATCCATTAAACTTTATTTATTTAAAAATATTTTTTTCTACACGTTGATAAAGATGATGAGATGAAAAAATAAGAACTGGTTTGTTACATTGAGTATTTAGTGATCATCCAATATCATCCATCTTTGGGACAATTCCCAATTGCTGTTTTGTAGAAATGTAGTGTGTATAAGTGTTATATAAAATAGAAATCACAGAGGCCTGCTGGATTTTCATTTGTTTCTTGTTTGAATCTAGAGTGGGCAGACATGCCGCTGGTGGCAACTGAGCTGGCAGACACCGGAGTCATGCCTCACTTCTGAGACCCGTAGCCATGAGCAGGGACATCTACAGAGACTCTCAAGTTCAGTGAAATAAGAGAATGTGCTTGGCTTACATTCCCCTCCTGACCCAGCCTCTCCTTCCCCTGACCCTGCTCTCAACCTCTTTGGAGTAGCAGGCCTGACCATTGCAAAGGATTGTCATCTGGACAGTTTCCCCTTCTTAAATGTTCTCTTAGAACCTGTTTCATCATCTGAATTTCCTTATATGGTAACTTTGAAATCTTTAGGTAAATAGGTCTCCTCAGTAGCTTACTCTGCTTCTCAGAAAGGTAACTGTAACTAATAACGGAGACATCATTAGGACACCTAACTAAAACAATTGTTTGGACCAAGTAGAATGTAGGTATATGATGCCAGCCCACTACTTTCTGTGCATGCTTAGCCTTACTGCCTTCCTCCGCCCTTCCATTTCTTACCATAAGACACTGCATACCATTTTCGGGTTTCAGGACCTTTTTGTCATCTGGAATATTGTAATGGCCTCCTTACTGGTGTTCTTCATTTCAGTTCACCTCCTGTCTTTCGCCACTATATCCAGTATACTGCTCCAAATGCATTCTTTCAGGATTGCAAAATTTGTGGATAAATTGTTATTTAAAAAAAAAGTCTAGTTTTGATAATTCCTATGATCAGACACCTTATAATTATAAAATAGTTTCAAACAATGAATAGATGAACCTGTAATAATGAGAGGGAAATCCTGTGAGGGCAGGAACAGAGCATGAGAACAAATCCCCGGAGGTAAGCTGATCCTGGAGTTATGAAGCCCTTAGAGCATCGCTGAATCTGGGTTTCCAAGGTGTGCTAGCGCAGAAGGACAAAAAGAAGAGAAATATGAAGAAGTGATTAATGCCTGTGGGAGGGAGGGAGAAGTAAGAGTGTCACAGATTACAATAGTGGAGACAATGGAGAGGAAACAAAATTCAAAGATAAAATGACTTCAGGTTTTTAGAAGTGATACACAGGAAGCCCCAAAGAACACCAAACTTGATAAAGTTAAAGAAATTTATACTTGGGCATTGCATTTAGATTAAAGATTGTCACCCCAACCTTGATCAGAGCCAAAGGATAATGAAGTAATATTTTTATCAGAAAAAGTAATTGTCAACCTGGAAGATTTATGATATGATGATACTTTTATATAAAAAGAAATAAAAAAGATTTACAACCCAAAATTTCCTCCCTAAAGGAACCTAAGTATAGACTTGTAGAGATAATTGAAAGTGGCCCCTAAAAATCACCTGAGGCTCAAAAAGAAGTATGATAGTAGGAATAGTAAATCTAAACTGACAATGACAGTTTATAGGAAATAATGATGTCTGGCTCAGTAGTATGAAAAAGCAAAAGTGATGTATGATTAAGTTTCACACTTTCATGGGAGATGGAAAAGTAGATCGCGCCAACAGGGTTAATATAACTGACTTAGCAGTAGTCACCCAGGGATGACTTAAGATCATTTTGTCAATGGGAGAGATCATTGGGCTCTGTTACTAGTAGGTATAAGGTGGTAATGATAGAGCTGTGAAAAAAATTTCGTGAACATGTACAGGAACACATGGAAGAAAGCAGATTTGTGATCTTCGAGGCAGCGCAGATGCCCCTAAACTAGATTTAGGGCTTTGGGGAAATTCATTACAATTCAGGGCCAGTGTTTATCCCATAGAGAATGAAAGGATTTTCTCTAAACAGCCTTCCAGCATTCACTAATGCTTTGCCTTAAACTGTGTGAATGACCCACATTTTTAAATGAGTTGGCTGCACTCCTAAGAGGTTGAAGATCTGGTGAGGAGTTTTCCAGTCACTGGTTGGTGAGTGAGAGGCTAAGTTCAAATGCCTCTTCCACACCATTGCACCTTGGATTCTGTTCTGCGGTAGCTCCAGCAGCCATGGTCACCCCTGTACCCTGTGGTCACTTTGACAGTGGCAGAGTCTGGCATCTATTAAACAATATAGGTGATATTTATTAAATAGTGTGTATTGTGTTACATTATAGACACCTGTCATTCTCTTTCAGTAGTCAACTTTTTTCCTTATACAGGAAATTATGATATACTTTTTTTGATTTTTTTTTGTTGCGTTGTTCACACATAGTGGAAACACAAGGGATGATTTTTAAAATTTCTCCTGGAAACCTGCAAGAGCGGATATTTCGTTCTCTGCCAGGTGGATAACCAGTTTGGTGTTGGCAGCAGTACCGCTGTTCTGTAGGTGGATATTCACTCCATTTCAAAGGATTCTTGAGTCTTCAGTCAAACTAGATTTTAAAAATTTGCTTATTTAATCAGGTATTAAGTGACCAACTCTACAAGTATCCCTAGACTTGTTTAGAAAAATGACATTCAGGTAATAGCATTTTCCCACCATAGATATCTATTAAGATTAAAAATAAGGAGTAAACTATTTCTGTTAATCTATGCTTTTGCTTTAGTGCTTCTAATCTGTACAACTTAAAACAAATCAATAGAAAAATTCTACTCTGGTAAAATATAAGCTAAAGGAACATAGGACTTTTTTTTTTTTTAAAGATTTATTTATTTGTACATACAGAACTGGGGTACAGGCCAGAGACTCAGGGGTGGCGAGAGGCTTCACCAGAGACAGAGTGGGGAGTAGAACAGGCATATCGACAAAGTACACTGCTGAGGGGAGCAGCAGGCGGGTCAGGAGAGGTCTGCCACCATGTGGTCACCTCCAGGGCAGGCAGGAATCGAACTCATGCAGAGGTGTTTTTAGCTTCTTAGTGCTGTGCTTTAACCCACTGAGCCACCAGGGAGGGCCCTGGAACATAGGACTTCTTGAAGAATTAATTTATTTGAAGATTTTTTTTAAGATTTATTTATTTATTCATACAGAACTGGGTTACAGGCCAGAGATGCGGAGGGTGAGAGGATTCACCAGACACAGAGTGGGGAGCAGAACAGACAGATCAACGAAGTACACTGCTGAGGGGAGCTGCGGGCGGTTCAGGAGAGGTCTGCCACGCCATGTGGATCTCCTCCGGGGCTGGCGGGGATCGAACTCATGATGAAGTGGCTTAAGCTTTTTAGTGCAGTGCTTTAACCCGCTGCACCACCAGGGAGGGCCCTGGAGAATTTTTATGATGGTAACTAGTGTCTTTCTTGAACAGGTTCTGTGGATGTTAAAGATAGGGAGGTACCTGCTCTCAGGTCATTGTGTACTGAAAGACATCTAGACCAAAAAATAAAAGATGTTTCAGGGTGGCAAGATCTGCAGCAGAGATAAGCAGATTTTCACAGAAGTAATAATAATTAAAATTATAATCTGGCTGTATTGCAGTATGTATGGGAAAAAAGAAAAGTGGGGTCCTTTCATGAGACTTTGCTCATGATTCCTATAAAGGTTGACAAATTCATAAAGGCTTTGGTACATGATTGAAACTTTGAAGCTTTCTCTTGGTTTAATATCTCTTTGTAGTTATGTCTCTTTTGCTTTCCCAGTCTCTAACTCATCTTTATAAGAGTTTGAGCTGTAGAGCCATGTTACATGGGTTCAATCCTACTCTTATCTTCCTAGTCATATGACCACAAGTAAGCGATTCCTCTGTGCTTCCACTTTGTAAAAGGACATAAGTAGTAGTAACCTTGCAGGATTATTGTGAGGATTAAATGAGATAACACATGGGTCACGTATTTAACCAGGACAATGGAAGCACAATCTCTGTGTTCATCATTTACATTCTTTTTCTACAGTGTTCATTTCTGTCAAATAAAATTGTCCCTTTTTTGTTTCTAGCTCCAAGAGGAAAACGAGGGTGGAAAACATTTTATGCTGTGCTGAAGGGAACAGTACTTTACTTGCAAAAGGTAAAATAAATGATGAAACTCAAAAATCTTTATGAAATGATAAATAATTTACAAAAAAAAACTCACTTTGTACGTATTAAATACCCAAAAGATTGCTTAATTGATGTCTAAATTCTTATGCCTTTTTTCTTTTCCTAGTAAGCTATCTTAGGAGATTGTATATATAAGATATATATATATACACGTATATATATATTGTATATATATGTAGATATATATAGTATTATATATTGCATATTATACAATATATAAGATCACAGGGAATGGATGAGCTGTGTTCAACTAGAAATTCTGAATATAAGTTGATTTGTTAATAACTTCATATGGTCTGAGTAGGTCCAGACCTGTGGAAGTACTTGTTTCTGTGAACATTTATACTACATACTAGTTATATACATCACTTATTATTTCATGGCTTATCTTCATTTAGTTATCTCACAAAGCCTACATAAATGTAGAAACACATTGAGGCATTGGTACTGAACTATGTAACTATATTCTAAATTCAAAGTAAACATCTACACTCATCAGGGATATTGGTCTATAGTTTCCTTTTCATGGCTTATCTATTTGAGGTTTGGATATAGGATAATACTGGCCTCATAAACTGTGCCCTACTCTTCAGATTTTTTGCAGAATTTGAGGATTGGTATTGATTACTCTTTAAAAGTTTGGTAAAATATTTTTGAAGCTGTATAGTCCTGGACTTTTCTTTGTTGGAAGATTTCTGCTTACTGATCCAGTCTCTCTCTGTACTAGTTATTAGCGCTGTTTAGATTTTGTAGTCATGATTCAGTGTTGACATATTGTATGTTTCTAGGAATTTGCCCACTTCCCAACTTGTTGGCATCTAACTGTTCATTGTTGTTTCTTTTAATTCTTTTAAATTTTGTAGCATCAGTTATAATGTTTCTTCTTCCATTTCTGATTTTGGATCTTTCTTGTAAATTGCCTAGCTAAAGGTTCTGAATTCTATTGCTCTTTTTAAAAAACCAATTCTGAGTTTCACTGATTTTTTTCTGTTTTCCTACTTTCTACTGCATTTGTTTCTGCTTTAACCTTTTTTTTTTACATGTATAAGTATTTTATATCATTGTTTATTCTTATACAATGCATGTTTGTATACTTTCTCCTTTCAGCTTTACCTGTGAACCATCACCATAGTCCCTTGTGCTCTTCCCTCCTCTGTTCTTATCCTTCTCCCTCCCCACCCTTGCACAGAATATCTCTGATTTATAGTGCTGCAAAATTTTTTTATTAGTTTGGTTTTTTTTCTGATCCCCTATTTGGTTTCTTTATATTCCTGCTGTAAATGAAACCATGTGAGATTTTTTTTTTCTTTCTGGCTTATTTCACTGAGCATAATCCCTTTTAGCTCCATCTATGTTGCTAAAAATGGCATGAGTTCATCTTTTTGATTGCTGAATAGTATTCCACTGTGCATGTGTGTGTGGGAGGGGTGTGTGTGTGAATACACCCCACATCTTCTTGATCCAGTCATCTATTTTTGGGTATTTGGGTTGTTTGTGTATCTTTATCTATTATATACAGTACTGAAGTAAACATAGGGGTGCAGGTAGCCTTTTGAATTAATGTTTTTTTGGGGTTTTTTTGGTTTTTTTTGTCCTTTGGGTAGATCCCTAGGAGTGGAATTGCTAGATCATATGATAGCTCCATTTTTAGTAATTTGAGGAACCACCACACAGCATAGTGGTTGAACCAGTTTGCACTCTACCAGCAATGTAGGAGAGTTCCTTCTTCAAATCCTTGCCAACATTTGTTGTTTTCTGGGGTTTTTTTTAGTATGTGCCATTCTTCCTGCTGTAAGATGGTTTCTCTTATGGTTTTGATTTGCATACCCCTGATTATAAGTTGAACATTTTTCATATACCTGTTTTCCATTTGCATTTCCTCTTTGGAGAAATTTCTTTTTCGCTCTTCTGCCCATTTTTTGACTGGAATGTTTAGTTTGTTTTTGTTGATGTACGTGAGCTCTTTGTAGATCTTTGTTATCAAGCTCTTATTATTTTTATTTTTATTGTGTGCAAAAAAATTCTCCCAATCAGTAGGATGTCTCTTTGTTTTGGTTAATGTTGCTTTTGCTGTAAAGAAGCTTTTTAGTTTGTTATTAGTCCCAGCTGTTCACCTTTTCCTTTACTTTCTTTGCTTGGGGGATGTGTCTTTAAAGATATTACATGTAGTGTTTTGCTTATATTTTCTTCTATATATTTTATAGTTTCAGGTCTTATATTCAGATCTTTTATCCATATTGAGTTGATTTGTATGGTGTGAGGTTGTAGTTTAGCTTCATTCTTTTACATGTAGCAGTCCAGTTTTCCCAGTACCATTTATTTCTGCTCTAATCTTAACATTTCTTTCTTTCTACTAGGGGCTTTGTTTTTTTCTTTTTCTAATTCCTTGAGGTATAAACATAGGTATAAATTTTCTAGTTGTTTGAAGTGTGTTATTTTTCTAGTTCCTTCAGTTATAAAGTTTATGTCCATAAACTTTCGGTCTAGTACTGTTTTTGATTTTTTTTTTTTTGGTTTGTTTTTACTTGCCTTTATCTCACTTTCTCCACTTATTTCTTTTACCTATTACATTTTCAATAGTGCGTTGTTCATTTCCATACACAAGTTATTTTATAGTTTTCCTTTTATTATTCATTACAAATGGCATCCCTTTGACTAGGAAATATACTTGATATGACATTATCTTAAATTTGTTTAAATTTGTCTGGTAAATTAACATATGATCTATCTTGGAGAATATTCTATGTATATTTGAGAAGAATGCCTATTCCAATACTGCTGGTTGGAATGTTCTATAAATACCTATTAGGTCCATTCTATTTACAGTGTTTTGTGAGTTATCTCTGTTTGGATATTCTATCCATTATGTAGAGAACTAGATATTGAAATAGCCTAGTATTATTGTATTTCTGTCCATTTTCCCCTTGAGTTCTGTACATATTTATGTCACTAAATGGGATTATCTGGTGTTGGATACATATATAACTGTTAATCCTGGTGAATTACCCTCTTTATCATTATGTAATGTCATTTGTCTCTTTTTTTAAATTTAAGATAAAATCCATTTTGCATGTAATTAGTATAGCTCTTTTCTGGTTAGTATTTGCTTCCCTTCATTTTCAAACAATGTATGTCTTTAATATATCTAAATACAATGAGTCTCTTGTACACAGATTTCATCTGTACTCAAGTCCACCTCTTGCAGATTATCAGATATCAGAGCAGTTGTAAGGAATGTTTTTTTTTTAAGATTTATTTATTTATGGATACAGAACTGGGGTACAGGCCAGAGGTAACAGGGGCAGTGAGAGGATTAACCAAAGATAGAGTGGGGAGCAGAACAGGCAGATCGACGAAGTACACTGCTGAGGGGAGCAGCAGGCTGGTGGGAGAGGTCTGCCGCGCCATGTGGTCACCACCGGGGCAGGCATAGAACTCACACTGAAGTGGCTGCGGCTGGCTTGCAGTGCTGCACTTTAACCTGCAGCATCACTGGGGGGGGGGGGGGGGGCGGAGGGAATGTTTTTAAAATTTTCTCTTACTCTGTTTCTTTACTGGAATGTTTTTCACATGTCTACATTATAAAGTAATAATAATAAAAATATATAATACAAATCCTAAAAAAAAAAAACATACAATCCTTTTGTTTTCTTCCATTTGGAATAGATTCAGTAAGAAATATTAGATATGAGATGCTTCACCTTGGACCTGGAAAAAGAGTAAAACACTGTTGCATTCAACATTTCTCAGAGGTGATTGAGAGGGATGCTGTGTCAAGTCACCAGGTTTTCTGTTCACATTGTCTTTTCCCTCCAATTAGTGAATTAGATTGGGTTAGACTTATCCAGATATAGAAGATAAAGGACTAAATATTGACAATAAAATGACTTTTTACACTAAACTTTGAACCTCCAGAATCAGTTTGGATTAGAGCTCCAAAATTATATTTTATCTTCATATTTATGGTGCCTCTGGAATGTGGCAAATAGACCTTTAGTGAGGGCTGGGTGAAGTTCCTTTTATTAAAATGTGAAAAACAGGACATAAAAGGAAATAATACATTTTTATAGGAGAACCCAAAGCAGAACTATGGGTGGTCTGTCTCAGGTTGCTATTTCATTTGAATCAGTTGGATACAAACATTGCTGAAGTGCTACTTAGGTTGAGAAAAAGTTGAGAATAGAGCAGCCATGTTGTGTCAACTATCTCTACTCTCTTATTAACACTCTTGAAAAGAATAAAGAGGAAAGAAAAAGGAGAGGGCCGGAAAAAAAAATTGACATATGCTTGAAATCACTACAGAGTAATCAATCAAGACCTATTTCCAGAAGCTTCATACAAATCCTAAAGAGAAACTTATTTGTCAGTGGACCCTTCATTATAGCAAGGCAGGATCTTGTATGATGTAGCTACTCAGGTTTTTGAGTAATTTCTTCTTGATTTGTAAAATTAAGAAAGCTCAGAGACAGTACACATATGAAAGACCCTTTGGGCATCTGCATCTGAAAATGCCAAGTCCTGTGAAGTTAGCAGAGTTCTGTCTGTCTCTGAATACTCTTGAGAGGCACCTTTGGGATTTGAGCTGTCCATTGGGAAAAGTCTAGTAGATACCCACACTTCTTCCTCTTTGGAATACCTCCAGATTATAGCAGGACTTAGTCCTGGTTGAACGGTATGTCCTACAAAGGACTAAGAATATCCCATTCCTGGCTTATCCCTGACCTTGCTGGAATCTTAGTTTGCTGGCACATGATGGCAGATTCTCTACAAGAAATTACATGATTGCAAAATGAGTTGAGGTTTGTACAGCTGAGGGTTTAGATCCTCAATACCCATTTAGAGTTCATCACATGTCAAGTACTATGCTAAATGCCGAGCTTCCACAAAGATGACTGAGATACAATCTGGCCACATAGAGCTCAAAAAAAAAAAAAAAAAAGAGGAGAAACAGGTAAATTGAATATTCAC